TCTTCTTTTATTGTTTACAAAGGAAGTACAAAACTTTGTAACAGCGAACTCTACAACTCAAGAGCTAACTTAAAGAGATTTATCCTGAAACAAATTTAAGCCTTTTACTCTAATTTACTACAAATTCACAATGAGCTACATACAAGCACGGATAGAGGCAAGCAAGGAGGTTGGGTATGTGGGGTACATAAAGAGGATAGAATTCTTATATACATGCAGTCACTATTCCAGTTGTTGCACTAACACCAGCTTCTCCAAATATTGTCGTTGCTGTGTTTGTAACTAAAGCAGTTGTTCCAATATTGACCACCCTAGTGACAAAAATGGCATCTAAAAATAAATCACACATGAAAGTCAAACATAGACACACAGAACTGGATAAGTTAAGTGATGATGGGAAAGACTAGTACGTAGTGCCAATAAGAATGGTGGTAAAAAACTACGTTACATCACTGTGAAGCATTCAAAAGACACCATCTTCAGACTCTTTTTCAGCCAGAACCTGACACAAATTAGCATCAAATCACCAATGAGACCATAGTTTCCCAATGGCTTGGTGACATTAAAAAAAAAAAAAACTTGTTCTTCCATGAGTTAATATGAACCACATGATCATATAAGAAACTAGCATCATCCTCCAAACCAAACAAGACAACATTAATACTGCTGCATGAACTTCACAATCAAGATTTGAAATAGTAAATCAGATTAAGCTTTGCTAAACTTAACCCAATATTTAAGTCAGCAAATGCCATTGCACATCAACCACAAACTTCATATATTTACCTAAACCATAAAAGTTACTGAAACATTAACCATCAATAACCGTGAATGCTCTTCAACTTCATATATTTAACTTTTTTGATGTTTCCGTGCTAAAATTCAGATTTCAATTGCTATTCACTAATTATAAGAACCATCAATCTTCAAACAAAGAAAGAAAATCTTTCATGGCCACAGTGTAGTTATAGAAGTCTCTGCCATTGAGAAGAATGCAGATGACCTAAAAGTGCAATCAGAATCACGCCTTGCTCTTTGAAAATCTTAAGAATCAAAGAAACCTTGATCACTCCGTACTCTGCATTCACCAATCCCTCCGCCGCAAGCACTCTCTTGCACGCGAAAAATAGAAGACAACAAAGCATTGCCCAAATAAAGACTCCTTGCTTCAACAAAATCTTCAGAGACTTCAAATTCAGACCTAAAACCTCACCTTGGTCACCACCCAGATCATTGTTTTCTTCACTTAACATCTCAGATGAGCTCTACCGCCAACAATGCCATGTCTCCGCAATCTCAAACAGTAAATTCCACCAAAAATGGACGGATCGAAACAACTGGAGACTACACAACATGGGAAGTGATTACTTTTGGATGAAAATTTTCTTGAGCATTTCAAAATTTGATTGTGTTGCACGAAAGAGGAACATTTGGATCCAGAAATGAAGGAGGGTTGATTGATGACAGCGGATTCAGGTGTCATAACCCCCTTTACCAATCACCCGCACAATAGTTATAGCTGAACGAACTGTTATTTTTTAAAAAAAAAACCCAAAATTGTATTCCCATTCCCAAAACTTAAAAAAAAAAAAAAAAAAAAACTGAAATTGTGTTTCCTTTGTGTCAAACCTATTCCACTTTGATCTCATTAAAACTGTAAATACTAAATAATAAGGTAAAAAAAAAGTCGAGAAAAAGATAATATGAGTATTGATTAAAGAGATGAAAGTGAATTAAGTCTCTGATACTGATAATGTCCCTTCATCTTGTCGAAACATTAATTATACAAAACTAAAGTATGCAACAATTATAAATTTTTAAATAAATGTAAATAAAATTTAAATAATAATTTAAATTAATAAAATCATATTTTAATATAAAAAATTTACCTTTATCGATCTCTCTCATCATTTTGGTTTAACAACATGTTCTTAAAAATATAAATCAAAGTAGTTTATAAAAAGAAAATAAAAAAATTAAAAATTGTAATTTTTAGGACCCAACTGAAGAAAGAAAAAGAATGAGAATCAAAGTGTCAATTGATGAAAGATGAGAGACCAGAACAGTTTTCCAATGCAGCACCAAAATTGCATTTTGGTCCAAAATCTCCGACACGAACTCTGCGTCCACTATACACTGAAGGTGTCCGCACTTCCTTCGTATTGTCGACACCCTATGCGATTTTCAGCGGGTCACCCTGTTTTTATTTTGGCGCAGGTCCATTAAGTATTCTAAAATCTTATATCTAAAATCTTATAAATACTCTTCCAGATAAAACTTTATTTACTCAATTGTATAACTAATAGATCTATTATAAGGTACAAATATATTTACTTTATTATTATTTTTTTAAAAATTTAATAGATTTCTTATTATGATTATTTAATTTTTTTTGTATTTTTTGTGCAGCAAAACTTACATCAATAAATCGATGCCCAAAGATCTTTTCAAAGGATAAGAATCATTTGAACAAAATGATAAAATTTACATCTATTGAAGTAGAAAAACTATCTTTAAAACTCGGATAAGATTAAGAAACATATTTTATAGAAATTTATTATATTTTATAATTATAAAAATTACTTTTTTAATTAAATTGCAGGAGAAAAATATTCAGCTCTCAAGT